TAACGGTGAAGAGTTTAACATTGTAAGGCATAAAAATGATAATTTTTATTTATTCAATAAACTTGTGTAGAGTTCAAGGAGTGTTGAATTAAATTTTGTACAATTTAGAAATTTAATTGTGGAGAGTTTAAACAGTGCGCATAATTTAACATTGCACAGTTTACCGTGAAGAGTGTTAACTGTGTGGAGTTTATAAGTGTGTACAGTATTTGAACCGTGACATTTCTCTGTCATAATGTTTTAACAAAACTTAGTGTTTTTAGAAATATAGGCAAAAAAGTTTATAAAATTCGTAATGTATTTTAAGTTTAATTTTTTTTAACTTAGCGTGGTCCAATGTTAAACAGTTCGATCCCTCGTGCAAAAGATTTTTAAATTAGGTTTCAAGTGTTTCGAGAACAACGTTCGTTAATAACGCAAAGAGAAATGAATAATTCAATAATAAATCGGTGAAATTAAAGAAAACAATAATTTTTAAAAACGGTAGAAGCTATAACTAAAACTTAATTCTAGTTGGAAATCAGAAATAATCGAATATAAAGCAAAAAAAGTGAATCTGATTTATTACTTTTCAAATATTTTGTTTTTTGTAGTGTTTTTATGATTGACAATAAATATTTAAATTTAAGTTTTTAAAACTTTACACACATTACATTAACCTCGATAAAACGTGGTGAAAAAACTAACACTATAGTGTTAGTATATATTCGCAGTGAAAACCTAAAAAAACCTGGTAGTAACCTATGTTTAAACCTAAAGATTTTGTCCTCTAAAAAATAATTGGAAAAAATATAATTCAGACAGTAATACAGCATAAAACATATAACATATAAATAAATACGTTTTAAAATAAAAAATTACAATAAAAACTAAATTTTTTTAACTGTCACTATAGCCGTGACTAGAGTTATAGAATGAAATCATTAAAGACATAAATATTATAAGCAGCGAAAAAGTTAGAATTTCACGATATTTTTATTATTTTCACTATGAGTAGACATATTTTTTTTAATCTTGAAATATTAAATTAAAATTAGGATAAAAAAATTTTGCTTTTTAAATATTATTCCTATTGCTTTAATTGTCAAAGCCTGTGACTTTTATAGAAATTTGTTAAAATTATTTTAATATGACTGTAGAATAATTCATTTTTATTGTACTGACATTATTCATACATTATGTGGGTGGTTCTCCTGAAAGGGATCCTTCTTTTTGTTTGAATTTACCAAAAATCAAATTATTTTTTTTAATTTCCAGAAATACCACCTCCAGCAACATTTTATTATCATGTTAATAAGTATAATTATAATTATAGCTTTTAAATTAATGATTTTGTAAAAAAAACTCAGTAGGAATATTTTATTTTGAATAATAAATTGATTTACTTTAATTTATTACACTTTTTACTTGTATGTTTTATTTTTATTAAATAAATAATTTAATTTGAGGGTTAAATATTTAAGAACAATGATGAAAAAACAAAACAAAATGCCTTTTAAATATAAAAAAGGCTTCGGAGATAAATTGATAATTTAATGAGAAAATTCTCTTTTTTGCAATTTTAAAAATATTACAATTTTTGTAAAAAATATTTTTAGTTTTAATCTTTAAATATTTTTACATAGCTTACATATTATCTTTAAAATGTTAAAAAATATAATGTTATTATTTAAAAAACAAGGCCTCGGAAATAAATTTAAATTTTTACTCGCACTGATAATAGTATTTTAATTAATAATTTCAATATTTCTTTTATTTTATTATGTTTTAAACAAATATAAGTGAAAAATAAACGTTAGATTCTGAACTTTATTTTGATATAATATATTATAAATAAGTGGAAATTATTTAATTACATTAAAATATAATTATAAAATATGCGTACATGCCATTTTTAAACTAAGCTCTAAGACAAAATTAAATACGTTTTTTAACTAGAAAGAACGTTAAATATAGCCATTAGAAAATAATGTAAAGATGGATAAATCTTCGTGGATTTTAAATAAATTTTTCAAAAAATTCAAACTTGATAAAATATCAATAAAAAATTAATGTAAATAATAAACCTCGTGTTGGAGACACATAAGGTATGGTCCTTTTCAGGAGCATCACCCATACGTGTCAGGAGCAAATTTGTTAATCTTCCTGTTTTAACATTTTTTAACTTTTAATATTATTTTATTATGAATCATAAAACAATACTTGCATATTTTTGATTTGTCAAACAATATTTTTTAAAGAAAAAAAAACAAAAGCATTCACAAAAAGTAACTTCAAACTGCGGACGCAGAATGAATAAAAGAATATACGAAGATTAATATAGTTAATTAATAATAACTAGCAACAATTCGCGCACTAAAGCGCGCGGATAACTTCTTACTACCTTTTTTAAAATAAAATTAGCAATTTTAAAAACAATAGAATTTAAAAATTTTATAATTTAAATTTTTGTTGAAAAACACCAAAAGATTTAATAATTTTGGAAAAATTACAAATAATTGCAGAAATTCAATTATTTACAAAAAGAATAAAATTCTTCGTATAAAATTCAACTATGTTCAAAATTTAAAAAAAATTCTCGTAAAATCCCAATTATCTTTATAAATAACAGAATTCTTCTCCAAAGTTTAATTATCTTCATAAGTGTCAAACAAATTCTTGGCAAATTTCTATTATTTTCAAAAAATTTTCTAATTTCAATGATTTTCAACATCTACTAATTTAATAAAATTTCCCGAAAAGAATTCAATTATTTAAAAAAATTGTAATAAAATTTAATGCAAACATTTAATTTTATTTTTCTAAATAATAAAATTTTCATAGGAATTAAATAATTTTCATAAATAATAAAAAATTTTTTAAGAAATTTAATTACTATTTCCATAAAAATAACTTTAAATTCTATAAAGTACCTAATAATTGAATTAAAATGATGAACATAATTGTGATGAAGTTACAGTTACAATTTTCTTATAGAATTGTAATATAAAATCATGATTTTATCTCTCGGTCATCATTAGTTATATATATGTATATATTATTATAGAAAACATGAAGAAATCGATCACTCCGCACGGAGAAAAAAGAATAATCATCAAATTTACTATGAGGAGTGTCAAATTTAAAAAAGTTAACACTCTTCTGTTTAGAACTTAACCTGAAGAGTGTTAAATTTACATTCCTCATAATAAGTTTAATTATCCTTAATTTTCCTTTTTTCTCCGTGCGAGTTTTCGACTCGGAGCAATCGATATCTTCAAGTTTTATAACAATTTTTTAAATTTTATATTTTGTTTAATTTCAAAAAGGTTTGAACTTAAAATTTTTGAATGTCTTACTGCTTGTGAAGAATCCTGTTGCAAAAATAAGATTAAAAATAGAAATTGTGCAAATATTTTTCTTCTTTTTCTAAAACAAAATAATAATTTTGTTACAAAAATTGTGATTCATAAATAAAAATAATGCAAAATAAATAAATTTTCTATTTCTTAATCACAGTTGTTCAACAATTTTCTAATTTTGTTTAGAAGTAATATAAAATCTATCTAAAGATAACAAAAAACCGAGGGGGTATTTACTGGTTGAAAACGTGTACACTCCAATACACTTATTACGCTAAAATTACACTTATTACCAAGTATTACAGGGCAATACAGAGATATGTCTAGGTATTACACCCACGTAATAACGTACTATTACGCCCTATTACGCGATATTACACGACTATTACAAGAAGAGTGTACACTCCAATACGGAAGTATATACCCCCTCGCAAAAAACAAAAGTATTAACAAACGACAACTTCAGAGTGTTGAGGAACAGAAAAAGGGAATGAATGAAAGATCATTCAAATTATTATAGTTAATAAAATGTCTGAAATTATAAAAAAGGTAGAACAGTTTATTTGGCAACTCACTCTTGGACAAAAAGTTAAGAAAAACAAATCAACAACAATGAATACATTTAAAACGATAAAATTCAACGTATTGAAGGATGAATATTCTTTCTTCAATACACGTTGAATTTTATCGTTTTAAATGTATTCTTAGTAGTTTGAGACTATATTAAATATATATTTAATATGGTCTCAAACTATCAAGAATTCATTTAAAATTATGAAATTTTTGAGTACTTAAAAGCAATAATTGGTCACAATTTACATTTTTACTCTTTTTGGAACTTCTATTTAATTTATATTGGAACTTATTTTTTGGTACTTTTGTTCTGTTGCAATAAACCATCCTTGGAACTAATCTCTTGAAACTTTTGAGCTGAAACATTTTTTTTCGGAACTTTTGTACCCCAATCCAATTTAGTTTTGCTTCATCATCGGTCTCTGATATAGTAATTAATAAACATTAAGGGTGACCTATACTAAATAGTAATCGCAATCAATTGCTCAGTTCTATTATTTATCAATAAAACTAATCTTCTCATTATCAACAAATTTAACAATACATTGGATAAGGACATATAAACAAAATTAATCAGGCAAAATTAATGAGACCGGCATAAATCAAACATTTTTTAGCCACAAGCCCTGATATCCATTAACCATACTTTTCTCGTTGCCTTCTTGTCAGCAATCAAGAATTTGCATTCGTAACGTTCCGCTGATTGGAAGCTTAGTTTAAATTCACAATAAACTTACCGTCAAACAATGTGGGCGCGTTCGGAATAACTATAATGTCGTGGAACATCAGTCTGGGCGTTCCCTTACAAGCTCCTCCCCAGATAGAGTAATTCTCAGCCTCTTCTTTAGTTCCAAGTGATGAGGGACGCAGTCCTACCTATTCTTCATTCCTTCCATTCCCCCTTGTTGATCATTCAACCCCTTGTTTTACATCTAGATTTTCTCATTGGTCGGAGTAATCGCCTCCAAACAAGATCTCTGGTTAAATAACATTTCCCTCTGACCAATGGGTTGCTGGACAACCTCTGGTAGGGCGAACCTCAACCGTGATGGTGTGGGGACTCTATACCAGCAGTATACGAGAAGCTCCGCTCGTGGATGCTTGTCTTTTAATCCTTTAATGTCACATGGTCTCCCTTTCTTGTTGTCATTCGAGTCGCAATACTCGATGTCTAGCCAATCAGCGTCGGTGTGATGGTGACACGTGCTTCCAAGTGATATTCAAATGTCAAGACCTTACCATATTTTATTCTCAAAAAAATATACACAAATAATTTTATTCAGGTTTTTTCATATTTAGTGACAAGGAAACTAAAACATTATCTAAAATAGTGTTATTAATATGAGAATTATAAGTTTCTTTTCATCATCTCAACAAGTGGAAGTTATTGAAGAGTGAAATTTTTCAATTACCAAAAAAAAAACGCATCTATGAACCTGTTTTGTTAATCAACGATTTTTTTGGAATATTTAAGTTGATTTGTTTTATGAAACATAACGAATTTTTGGATTATTATATAATTCTTAAAGAAATTCTGTTTAAATAAGAATTAAAAGAGCAAAGTGATACTGTGCAGGAGTTTAATTAAAAACTTAATGAAGTGAATTAAATTTGATCCACTGAAGAAAAATGTAGATAAATCTTTCTTAAAAACTTCGTTTAAATACCATGATTTCTACTAATTATTCTTAAAAAGCATATTTAAAATTTATGTTCTCAAAATGAAGTTGATTAGAAATGTTTTTTCATACGTTGCCAATAACAATTATTTTAAATATAGTGAACATTTTAATCAGTAGTCATGTGTTTTCTAGTAATGTGAAACAAAACTGAATTAATAATGCCACGACCGTCGCGTGACACGTACGGTGATCAAAAGCCACCTTATTCTTATATTTCGCTAACAGCCATGGCAATATGGTCATCAAGAGACAAGATGTTGCCTCTAGCTGAGATTTATAAATTTATAGCAGATCGATTTCCATATTATCGAAAGGACACTCGTCGATGGCAAAATTCCCTTCGTCATAATCTTTCTTTCAACGACTGTTTTATAAAGGTTGGTTTCGCATTGTATATTTTTAACGTTCCTCTTTTATGTCCATTAGTATAGTCATAAAATGGGCAGGATTTTAATATGCAAGGTCTCTAAAAAGTTTTCGTTGTTGCTGAGGGTCGAATAATTTTTACGAAACTGAAAAGAATCAAACAATTTTTTCAAACGGTTTTAGATTAGAAAAGTTCTTGAAAAGTTTTATAATCCGTAGGAAAATGAAAGAGGTGAAAATTAGGTTACCGGTCATTTTCCCGAAACCAATTTCTCAAAAGGCCCTATCCTGAATGTCCAATTTCCCGAATATCTAAAATCCCGAATACCTTTTTCCCGAAAGTCTATGTACCCGAAATTTTTTTTTTAAATGGATATATATTTTTGCATCTACATCATTCTTACATTTATAAATATTATTGAAAATATACTAAATAATGAATATAATTAAAAATACCAATCAAAAACAAATTTAACATTTTTTTACACCAACAAATTAATGTTTACAATCATGTTAAACAATCAAAATATATGTGTAGTTGCTACGGATACATGACAGATATGTTAGCGTAGCAACAGAAACAAAATAGACAATAAACATGTTCATTCTACTCAGTTTAAAAATTTTAATTTTTCTGGGAAAATTCCATTCGGGAAAATGGTTTCGGGATTTTAAAAATTCGGGACAGGGCCTTTTAGGAAAATGACCAGAAACTGAAAATTCGTGAAATTTTCATTTTTAAAAACAATCGAGCAAGCTTTTGTTCGCATAAAAGAAATTTCAAGTGTAAAAAACAGAGACTGACATACTCTGGACTATATATAGAAAGTTAGTGATTTTAGAAAACTCTTTTAGAACGTGTAAAAACTGTGAAATTTATTTATTTATAAATAAAAATAGGTATTTTCAAAATTTGATATAATTATTTCAAACAGGGGAAAACGGTAATGTGCCGTTGAAACTTTCAATTGGAAACTTTCGTTTTGACAGTTTCAAATCATGAAATTTATGATCGATGAAATTTTTCATGAAATTTATAAAATTTGTAAATTTGGTATTTCGGTTATGTCAAGTCTCAATCATGTTTGGAAATTGATAGAATTTGTGCTTATTTTAAATTCTTAACCTGCACAAACTTGTTATTGTAAAAATATTTAACTATTCATTCATGTGATCCTTGAAATCTTATTTTTAAAATAACAAAATTTTTTAAAAATTTATGAAAATTAAAATTAAGGAAATAAATTTTTGTAAAAATAAATATTTTGAATTAAAACATTTAGAATAGTATATAGTATTTGTATTTTACAGTTAAAAGGAATAATTGGAAACATAACTAAATAATTTGTAAATTATTAGTTTTAAAAAGTTAGAGGTTAAGGCTAAAATTTCATAAATTTCAATTACACTCGACTCTCGGATCTTTTGCACTTACGGGACCAAATCCTCTCATACCTTTTACCAAAACAAATGTCATAGTAACGCAAAACAAAACCATATGTATAACCAAATATGTAAATTAATGACAGTATTTATGTTTTAGTTTTAATATTTACATTTAAAAAAATAAAAATTTTAATATAATTTTAATCACATAATGGAAGAGCTGTTCTACACGCATAGAAAGGGTTTGCTGTGGCAGTAGCGAACATTTTTCTGCCACAGCAAACCTTGTTCGTTGAAATAGGGACAGCGAACAAGTTCGCTGTGAGATCAAACAAGTTTGCTATGACAGCAAACTCGACTAAATTTTTACTAATGTTTGCTGTCACAGCTAACATGTTCGCTGCCACTGCAAACTTCTTAGCTGTGGTAGCTAATTTTCAGAGATTTTACAGCAAACATCTGTTTACTGCTGCAGCTAATTTCTTTTTTTCCGTGTAGTTTACTTTAGATAACCAAAGTTATTGCGAAATAATTGTTTTGACAATTTGATAGTAATTTACTTATTTAATATAAAAGGTAAAAGGTGCAGGAGAAAAATTTCAAAAGAAGCGAGAGTGTAAAAGATCTGAATGCAAAAGATCCGAGAGTCGAGTGTAATTTGAAACTTTTCATTGAAACTTTCAACTGAAAGTTTCGAAAAGTATAAATTTCGGAAACGGCACATTACTAGCTTTGTACGATTAAATAACCTAAAAACATCGTTTTTCCCTTTTTGAAATGAACCATATTAAAGATTGAAATGAATTATATTAAATTTTGAAACGAAAATTTTTTCAGTGCAGATATAAGAAAACTGCGAAAACGTAGAGGCAATGCTGAATTTTATATAGTTTAAAAGTTTCATTTTTCAAGTTTGGGTAACCTGAGTCCATAACTGTTTTTATGGCTATTATTAATAAAATTATGAAAAGAAACCTATTTGTTTAATAAATCATTTTTTCTTATTTTTGTTATTGAAACTCTAATATTAAATTTTTAATTAGGTTTATGAATATTTATATCTACATATTTAAGGTACATTAAAATATAATTGAGCAACATCCTTTTAAATTCACATGCGTGGAAAAATGGAAATGCAACTTTACCATATATTTCATGATACATTGTAGATACTTTCGACTTTATTTCACTTTTTTAGAAAATTGTGAAGAAGTAGACGAAAGATTTTCAATAAAAACACGTGTCCCCCATCAGAGAACGTGTTAATTAAAAATTTTTTTTTTAATTATACAAACAGTCTTATGAAATCAATTAAAAATTTGGGATGGTATTCATGCACAATAAACTATTTATTTTTAAAATTTGACCAAATTTACTCATTTTTAATTAGAGGTAGACACTCCTTAAGATTATTTTATATTTATTTAAAATTGCTTGCTTGAATAGTGTGAGTGACATCCTCTTTATTCTGAAAAGTGTTTGAAATAGTTATTCAGCTATTAACCAATTTAAAAATATGCATGGAAAAATGAGCTATTCATGAAAGCAAACTCATTTTTCTCCGTCGTGTGATAAGCCTACTACTCGGTTATATAATTCAAATTGTATAAACATCGAAAAATTTAGCTTGACGTGTAATTTTCCAATGATTTTCTCACTTTTAGGAAAGTTGTATGCAAAACATGCTCGAATTTTTAAGGTTATCTTCTTACGAATGACAAGGAGTTAGTTGGTAGTAGTTGGTTAACACTTACTGATTATTATTAAACTTATTCACATTGTGAACCTAACCTAATTTTTTTCTGACTAGCGAATATTTTTATTTCAAGTAAAAATCATTATTGTTAGGTATTTTAACTCACTTTATGTAATAAGTATTTACGCTATTATATAGGGTTGTACGTTTGCACCTATTGCTAATTTAACAAAGACTCCTTGTCATTTCAACAAAATCGGCTTTAACTATATAGCCACCTTGTTGTTTCCGGGATAGAAATTTTTTTCAATGTATAAACTAATATATTGCATTTGCATTGAATCAGAGTATCAGACAAAACAATTGCATTTTGCAAGCTATTGTAGAAACACCTTTACAACTAAGTGTGAACGCGATATCCACATGTTCTGCGGTACATTTTTTTTTCTACCGCCAAAGGTATAAATGCACCCTTATCTTAAATATATTATACTTAATTATATGGTGAAAAAATTTAACCATAAACTATACTCAATTATCTGAAACACTTTGGGGCAGGACAAATATTTTCGTTTATAATTATGGATAAATGGATTTTTTTGAAGCTATTGTACACTATACACGGTGAAAAATAAAAACTCAGATTTCGGACTGATAAAATAATTTGAATAATTTGTATTATCCTAGGAAGAAATATTGAATTTTAGTTTTCTCTTCTAAAAAGTTTAGTAATGACCTGTTTTCAATTAAAATTAATTCTAAATATCTTAGTAAACGCTAATATTCTTCTTATTTAAGCAAGTGCCATCAAAATCAGTAATGTTTTTAATTGGTAAAAAATTATTACAGGAGATTGGGGAATCCTGAGTCATGGGGAAAATGTGTGCCACCTCATTATTTAAGAATATTTAAAAGGTTGATCATCAATATTTTTTTATATTCTTTTCTTCATCCAAAGTAAATTTTTCATTAGCATTTTATGCTCTTACACTTACTTATGAACCCTAAAAAATAACCACATGAAAAATTCCATTCAAATAAATATTTTGTGCGTTCATGTTTTCATTAGTTTTACAACCATTTTCAAGAATTAATTGAGGGAAATATTATTTTAATCATTGTGTGGCATTAGTACTTTGACTCCAAAAAGAAATTTTGCATCAAAAAGTTACTAATTAATACAAAGTATTTTGTAAAATGAAGCATTTGTGAAATTGTGAGTCACACAGTATTATGTGTTGCTTGTTTTTGGCGATTTAATTGCAATGTATCAATACAGGTATGTATTATAAAAATCACTCATAGCAGGCACTATATTATCATCTAAATAATGATTATTTTCAATTGTTGATAACCTTTATATGAAAAGTTATTTTAAACACTTAAGTTATTTAAACTTTATTCAAACTTCGGAAACTGGCGAGGCCCTGGTCAAAATCCTATTTAAAATCTAGTGAACACCCTACCTGGGGTTTTGGATAGAAATTCCAGTCAAACCCCTAAAATAAAAAAATTATTAAATTACTAGAATAATGATTGCTTTTCATTATTAATAGCTTTTTTACCAAAAGGACTTTTAAAAGCTTGGTTTACTTTAATTTTTTTCAAATAGGGAAAACTGTCGAGGCCCCAACTCAAGCCTTATTTTAAATAATAGGGTAAAGTGGGGCATTTTCTGCACGGGGAAACAAGTCACAATTCTTTTCATTACGATTCATGCGATAGAGCTGTTCATTCAAAATATGTAAGTAATGAAGCCTATTACTATTTTACTTGTCCAAATTGTGATTCCAATTAATTTCATTCTATAACTTTTTATTGTCTAGAATTTTAAATTAATAGGGCCCTAAGATGGATATGGTTTCGATATAATGTTCTATAACATTTAATATTTCTAATATTTCTAATGATTTAATAATTATATTTTTA